GGGATCTCCATGGGTTTCTTGGATAGGAATGCATCAGGCAGAGCCTGGCTGCCCTGTCTAATAAGAGCATCAGGAAGGTCTGGGACAACAGAAGAGATGAAAGAACCTCAGAGCCAGAACGGTGCTGAAATAATGATTAAAATAAAAGAGAAGGAGTGGAGGAGGGGGATTAAGTCCTTAAAAGGTGAGTTTGGATATTTTTGATGGCTGTGAGAGTTGAGGCTATCTCATACCCCAAAGTTCTGCTTTTTTTTTGGTGGTGGGAAAGGTCTTGTGTGGCTGCTCCAAAAGCTGGGCTAGAAGCGACTGCCCTGCCAAGTGCTGATCGAACAGTTTGTAAAACAAACTCATTATTTACATAACCCTAAATTTTAAGGGGGTTTTTAGCACTTGCAGACCCCTTCTGGAAAAGAGGCTGTGAGGGCTTTTTTCCTCCCTTTCCCATGATCATATATCTGATTTAATCTGCACAGGACACAACTCAAACCCAATCTCCTGCACTCGCCACAAACCTGAGCATCAAAATCCCTCTGATGCCAAACTAACACTTTTCCCACTGTTCCCAGTGTTCCCCAGATATTATGGATATTTGGTTCCCTCATGCTTTTCACAGAATTTGGGCTAAACCTGTCAGCTTAGCCCAGCTAAACTGATCTGGGAAGAACTGTTTGCCCAGAGATGCTGCCCCATCCTGCTCCAGCATCCAGGAACGCTGAGAGCAGCTGCTCCATCCATTGGAGCTTCAGGATCCTCCTCTCCTTTGACCTGGAGTTTCTTCGGTATCTGGTTTCTTCATCCATCCCCCTAACAGGAAGAATCTTTTCTGCAAGGAGTTTTTAGGAGACTTTCTCATCATCTCTGCAGCCAGTTGGACCTGTTGACTGGAGCAAAAATCTGTGGACAATGAGCCAACAGGGACTTGGTGTGAGCAGCTGCTGCTTCCGCTGAGGATTCACCTACAGCCACAGCTGAGCTGGAGGCTTCAAGTAAGATCCAGCCTTTTAAAACTTCTTCTTTAGGGCCAAATATTCCAAAAATTTTGACCCAAGTTGGGCAACACCCCGATGTTCTTGGCGAGCACCAGCAGCTCCGTCATCTCGTGATGAGGCTGTTTAGAAAGGAACAATGCTGTGGATGCTGCAAAAAAAAAATCAGAGCTGGAAAATGTCCTACTCAGTGTACGGTCCTGGGGGGGTCCCAGGAGTGGAGGAGCCAAAGGAAAGGGTCATGTTGCTGTCAGCTCCTCGGGTCTGAGCTGGAGGAGCACGTGTTGGACATATTCCAGCAAGAGCCGCCTTTCAGGTGCTCCTCAGTGCTCAGCAGAGCCGAATTGCAATGAAATTACTGGAGTATTTTATCTGCTTAGTTTCAGTTAATTTCAAAGCAATTGGGTACAGCCCATTGACTCTGCTGGGGTGGCTGCAAGCCTGAGAAATGCACTGAAATTGAAGTGAAATAGCACCAAAAAACTGCTGTAAATCCTTGTAAACCTTCGCTGCCCTCAAACCCCCTCAGTCCTGGGGGGGCAAAGGGCTGGAGAGGGAGGGGGCCTGGGCCGGTCTTTAATAAAGGATGTTCAAAGCAAATTTGACTCACATTTTTCTCCCTATACAGTATCAATGTCTGGTTTTGCTGCCTTGGTGAAGAGGCCTCAAGGATCAGCACAAATCAAGGCTCCATGGCATGAGCAGATGAAGCGGTTTTGCCAAAAATCCTCCCTGTCTGCATCCCAAAGGTGTCAAAAGGATTTGATGGTTAGTTAGATAAGGGCATCTCCACTGTGGTTGGGATCTTAGACAAGCAAAAGTCCAGCCCCTGCCCTCCAAGTGGGGTCTCCCTCGATATTTGGGGTATTTAATATGGTTTTCCTCTCTGGCTTGAGCACCTTTTGAAATACCTCCCGAATAAACCTTCAAACCAACAAGTTTCCAGGAAGTTTATTTTAAACTTGATACATGAGGCTAAATTTAGTAGCAAATCAATTTGTCTTCCTCTCCTCCTTGAGCATTAAGAGCATCTCCTCCTCCCGCTCTGCAGCCCAGGCTTTGATGGGGATTCGCTCCCCCGTTCCCTGGGAACACCTGAAGGTTAAGAGGTGCTCGAAGATCCGGCTGACATTTCCAGACGTGCCCAGGTACGTGGAGCTGGAGTGCAGTGCCCACCCGTGTCTGTGCCAGCGCTGCCAGAGCGGCACCCAAAGGCAAATCCCACAGTTATGGCTGGAGATGGAAGGAAAAGGGAAAAATCAAACCCCCCCCAAAAAAGCAGAGGGTTGGAAGTAGGTCCATGAGGTGGGAATGGGTTTGATTTTGTCTTCCTTGGCTTCCTGGCACTGGGCTTTCCCTGAGCTAATCCAGGAGCTGCTGCCCAGGCTTCCTCCAGCGTTGCTTCCTATGGCAGCTGGAACTTTTAGTTCCTAAATAATACATGGATTTTGATTTTATTTTATTTATTTTAAGGTAAATGGTGTGACACAAGGGGCTGCCCAGATACCCTGCATGTGGCCTTGGCAGGGAAGGGACAGGGCAGACCCTGTAGTCTTGTGTGTGCACAATGTGGATGACTGTATATATATATATATATGCACAATTAAAAATTATATAAATAAAATTAATGTAATAAATCACAAAATATAAATATAAATATAAAATAAAATTAAATAAAATTTATGAATATGGTATCAAAGATTTAATAAATGCTAATAAACATATAAACTATATGTAATACATAAATAAAATTTATATAATATAAAAGTTATATAATAAATACTGAAATATTCTATAATGCCATTGTATTTATATAGTTATATGTAATTTATTATATAATATTAATATAATATATTAACCTGGTATTGTATAATATAATACATAAAGTATTAACATTTTAAAATATTTTAAACGTATTATATATCAAATGTATATGTTAACTATGAAATAAAATATAAGCATAATGTACATAAGAATAAAATGTATATGATTAATATACATTATAAGACTATAAATCGCTATAAACACCATGTCATACCGATGCTCCCCTCCCCTTCCCTTCCCCTCGCTCATCGCTCGGTCCCCGCGGTGCAACCTCCGGTACCGGAGCGGCTCCTGCACTCACCGCGCGGCGGAGCCACCGAGCCGAACACGGGGCACCGGGACGGGCTGGAACTGAGCACTGGGATGAACTGGAACCGGGCACCAGTATAGGCTAATACTGGGCACTAAGACGGGCTGGAGCTGGGCACAGGGATGGGCTGGAACTGGGCACTGTGACGGGCTGGAACTGGGCACCGGGATGAGCTGGAACCGGGCACCAGTATAGGCTGATACTGGGCACCAGTTTTGGCTGGCAGTGGACACCAATATAGGCTGATACTGGGCACCAGAAAGGGCTGGCATTGAGCACCAGTTTGAGCTGGCACCCAGCAGTGGACACTGATACAGGGATGGCACTGGGCACAACTATGGGCTGATACTGGTCACCAGAATGGGCTGGTGGAGGACTGGCAATAGTCACCAGTTTGGTCTGGCACTTGGCACCAATACAGGCTAGCATGGGTCACCAGTACAGGCTGGCATGGGCCATCAATTTGAGCTGGCACCAGTATGGGCACTGGGCACCAGTATGGGCTGGCACTGAACACCAGTACAGGCTGATACTGGGCACCAGTTTGGGCACCATTATGAGAGAACTGTCCATCATTAGGGGTTGGCACTGGGCACCAGTTTGGGCTGGCACTGGGCACCAATACAGGCTGATTATAGGCACCAGTTTGGGCACCAGTATGGGTAAGAACCACCCATCATTATGGGCTGGCACTGGGCAGTGGTGTGGGCTCATACTGGGCACCACTATGGGCAAGAACTGGGCACCAGTACAGGCTGGTACTGGGTACCAGCATGGGCAGGAGTATCGCCCAGTTCCCCAGGGTCACATTGCGCTGGGACCTGCCCAGGGGACATTCCCAAGGGGATAACAGTGTGTGGGGACACCCGTCAGTGCTGCCCCCCCAGCCCAGCCAGGGCCGCGGGGTGCAGCTAATGAGGGGCTAATTGTGTTAAGCCAGGGCTGCACTAATGCAATTGTGGGATTATCCTGCAGAGACAGCGACCCCCCATTGTTGCCAGGGTGATTTGGAGGGGTTTCAGAGACATGCACCTGGGCCATGATCCAGCCAGACCCCCCCAGGCCTACCCTAGTGCCCCCACCCATTGCCCACCCATCCTGCTGGGGATCCCGGCCTTTCCAGGGGCTTTAATTGCCCCAGGGCTAACGAGGGGCTGGTGGTGCTGGGAGGGGGCGTGGGCTCTGCAGGTAAACAGCACCCCGGGGCTGGCGACCCCCCCACCCCCGGCACATCCCCGCTGATGGTGATTACCGAATTAACCGGCTCCATCTGAGCCCGTCTGCTGCCGGGATGTGGGTCAGGGATTACCCCCCTCTGTGCCCCCCAGCCCAGTCCCTGCCCTCCCTGTCCCCTGCACCCACGGCTGCACTGGGAGCACCCCAGTGCTGGGGATGGGGGTCCTGCCTTCCCAATCCTGGAAGGCAGAGGAAGGAGGTTCAGGCGGCCGTAATAAATACAAGAAAACTTTATTGAAAAAAAAAAGAGGTGGGAAGGGGGCAACGGCCCCGGCTCGGGGAAATAAATAACAACCTGGGGAGCACCAGCTTACAAAATATGGCTCTGGGCAGTGGGGTCCTGGGGGGTCCCCAGTGAGGCTGGCAGGGGCTGTTGGGTGCCCCAGTGAGAGGCTTGGGGGGCCCAGCCCCCCGGCACCCCCGGGCACCTGAGAAGGGGCTGCCCTGGGGGCAGCTGGGGCTGCCAGTGCATCCCAGCCCCAGCAGGGACATGGGAGCAGCCCCATCCCTGCCTATCCTGAGAGCCACCACTGCGCCACAGCAGCGTCCCCAAGCCGGGAGCACTGACTGCGGGCAGGGGCTCAGCACCACTTGGGGCACCCCTGGGTGGGCGCCCCACTCACATCCTGTGCCCCCTCAAGGGCTCAGGCCAGGATCTTCTGGGGGATCTCCACCGAGGCTTTGATGAAGATGGCATTATCCCGCACGTAGTTCCGTTTTCTGATGTCCTCGTGGGAGATGAACTTGGGGTAGCCGAAGCCCAGGGTGCTCTCGTCCAGGGAGCTGCGTGAGGCTCCCGGCTTCTGGAAGTTTTTCCAGTTGGGATCGGGATGGAAGGTCTCGGTGATGTGCTGGGGCTTGGAGAGCGAGGGGTCGCTCTGGTCCAGCAGGGAGAAGGTGACGCGGTAGGAGAAGGGCCACTCCAGCAGGTTGTCGTACTCTCCCGGCAGCACACGGATGTAGACGGAGAGGTGGCTGCTCTCCCCGCTCCCGTTGCCGTTGAGGAAAGCCGAGACCTGGAGCTTGTAGCCGTACTTGTGGGTGTAGAAGGGGGGGCTGAAGAACTCGTAGTTGCTGCGGGCTTTGGCCTCCTGCAGCTTGCGGGCGTAGTCGGCGATCTTCCAGATGAGGGTCCCGTCGCTGCTCACCGACAGCTCCTCCACGTCACGCCGCAGCTCCAGGATCTCCTGCCGCTGCCGGCTCACCAGGGCACACACCATGCCCAGGTGTGCCTTGGTGCTCTCCTCCAGGTGCCGACCCATGGCCAGCTTGGGGCACTGTGGGGACAGTGGGATTGTCAGCGGGGACACTGGGAGATGGCACGAGACAGGAGGGAAGGGTGCCATGGAGATGGGGGTGCTGGAGCAGGAATTTGTAGGGACACAGGGGTGGCTCAGGGACACCTGGTTGGGATGGCACGGGGACACTTGGGTGGCAAAGTGACACGAGGTGAGGCAGGACAAGGATGGGGACATCATGGAGCCACATGGATGGACAGAAGAGAACCAGCTCAGGGGAATGGGACAGATAGGGCAGGAGTGGTGTGGGGATGTTGTGGAGCACAGGCACAGTATGGTAGGGAACGACACCCCATGAACCCCCAGGGCAGGTTGGTCACAGGGACACACTCACCCGGTGCTTGCAGCCAGCCTCCTTGAAGGGGCACAGCAGCATGGCAGTGTTGCAGCTCTCCTTGAGGTGGGTGGGCACGTCCTCCCGGGGGATGCTGGGTGTCCCACACTGGTTGGGGCACGGCACAGGGTACCGGGGACACTGGTACTGGTGGTTCTGGGGAGGCAGAGTGCCTGTCAGCCAGGGCTGGGAGCCAGTGGGGTGAGGGTCCCCATCGGCCCCATCTCACCTGGATGGTGTCGAAGACAAACTCCTTGGAGCAGTAGGTGCAGGGCTGGGTGCGCTTGGGGCACTCAGCCAGGGCGTGCTGGGACAGCAGGCGCCGCATCATGCGGGCCCCACACTTGTTCTCGCAGTACACACTCTCCTGGGGACACGTGCCCTGGTGGCCCTGGGGACCATGACAGCATCGTCACCCTCTGTCTGCCCTCACCAGCCAGCCCTGCCAGGGATGGGGCCATGTGGTGCCCCCATGGCCAGGGGCACAGGGACCAGGAGCCCACATGTCCATGTCCCCACAAGGCTGTTACACTCATGATGTGCCCCCCATCCAGGCTCTGTCCCCAGGTCCAGGTTGTATCCTCCATGGTTTCCCTCACAAGGCTGTGTCCCCCATGGCCAGGCTGTGCTTCCCACAGTGTTCCTGCCAGGCCAACCCCATGGCTGTGTCTCCCATAGTGTCACCCCCTGCATGGTGCCCCCCTGTTGCCCACCTCAAAGGCCTCCCCAGTGAAGTCACTGGCGCAGAACTCGCACTTGACCCGGCGCTTGGGGCAGCCGTGCTGGACGTGCTCGGGCAGGTCGCGGCGGCTCAGTTTGGCGCTGCACCGGTTGGGGCAGGGGATCACATTGAAGCCACAGGTGCTGAGATGGGCCTGTGGGGCATAGGGATGGTGAAGGAGGGCCATGGGACAGAACCTCGACCCTCACCCCATCCTGCCGGCCCCTACCTGGAGGTGCTTGATGAGCCCGCTCCAGCGACAGCCCTCCTCGCTGTGGATGCAGCGGATGGCCAGGCTCAGCACCTGCGCCTCCAGCTCCGGGTCGGGGTAGATCTGGGGGGGCAACACAGGGACTTGAGCCTCCTGCACCAGGCTATGGGCGTACAGACCCCCAGCACAGCCTGGCTGGGAGCCGTGGGCACTCAGCCCGGGGCCGGATCCCCCACTGGCACAGCAACAAGCACCCTTTGTCGGGAGCGGGTTTCCGCTCCCCGGCCCCGCAGCACAAAGGGCTCTTGCTTCCGCCTGAGTGCCTGTGCCAGCCCGGCGTGGCTGTGCCAGGCGCTGTGTAGAGCCTTGGGACGGCGCCTTGGCGGGGATGTCACCTTGGAGGGAGGTACCCATCCATGTGCCAGGCTCACCTTGGCGTAGTCCAGGGGCAGCTGGTCCTCCGGGCACTTGAAGACACCTTCGCTGCAAGACACAGAGGTGTCGGGATCACTCAGGGATGGGGAACAGCACCAGTGACACAGACACGATATCCCATCAGGTCCCCGCCATCCCATCCCAGGACACTGGCACTGTCCCTCCACCGCTGAGCGCTCACCCCCTACCAAATCCAGCCGCGACCCTGGGGGAGCTGCAGCTCTAATCCTGCTCCATCTGTCTGAGCTGGGAAATGCTACGGCCAGACACCCC